TTCGTATTTAACTGTCAGATGGTGAAATTCTTGGATTTGTTAAAGACGGACTACTGCGAAAGCATTTGCCAAGGATGTTTTCATTGATCAAGAACGAAAGTTAGGGGATCGAAGACGATCAGATACCGTCCTAGTCTTAACCATAAACCATGCCGACTAGAGGTTGGAGGTCGTTACTTGCATGACTCTTTCAGCACCTTATGAGAAATCAAAGTCTTCGGGTTACATCCACCGATATACCACGGACATGGGGTCGTCTGACTGCCATTCTTCCACCAGGTTGCTTTACTAGACCTCAGGTCCAGGTCGTCTCCCGGTCTCCGGAGGCACTTCTGTCCATTCAGAACGAGAAGAGCAGATCCGAGTCGCTTGGTTGTTCCGGATTCGACGTCGCGCTGGGTGGGACTGGGGATCTCGTGAGATTGGACCAGGTATCATGGACCCGCCACCCTGCCACCCTGCCAGCCCTCTGCGCAGCTGGAATCGAAACTGGAATTGTAGCTGAAGCTCTTTCAGCTGCATTCCACCCACCAAGTTCCCTAGATCACTCCCTTCACCCCATGCCGAAGTGTTGTATCCTTCGGAGTTCCACTGTTTTGCTACCTCACCTCAGCTGCGTTCCCAGTCGTCAGGTTCTGCTACCTCAGCTGGCTGGCGCGCTGTTACATCATGAGCAACGAGCCTGGCCAAGCCTGGGAGGTGACAGGGATGGACCAAGGGGCGGGGGGTGAACGAAGACCTTGAATCAGGATGGAAAGGTGAAGGTAGAAGGTTGGTTGGTACTGGCCTTATTCTTTTGTGGATTCCTCACCTGTTTGTGTTGCGCGCAATGAAGCCTTCACACGGTCGGACTGAAGCGAACCAGCAACATCCAAGCGTGGAATCACCCGCGGCGCCGCGGCAGGCTTATGTTCGAATGGACACCAGTAACGAGTCCTTCAATCTGCTACACTTGATCGCCAATGACTGCTACAAGATGGGCCACTTCTATTATGCATGCAAGGCGGATGGGATCCGGTGATGGAATCCTCGGATCTCGGTCCGCTTTTTTTCCCGATGTGTTCCTCCGCTGCCTTCTCCAGCTGATGGAAGTGCGTAAAACACGGCTGCTTATATAGGGGCTTCCACCATCCATCCAACAGGTCGATGTGTCAATGTCTTGGATTGGAAGGCCTGTGAAAACACAGCAAATCACTTCCATGTGATTGATGGGTTCGTTGTCTTTCTGGTCACGAAGCCCGACCGAATCCGCGGCGAACTCGTGTGGTCAGGGGAGGGGGTGAACGAAGCGTGCCGTGAGCCATGAGGGTTTTCCAATCTCTTTTGGGCACTCTTGAAGGCTACGGCCAAACAAGATCAAACGAATAAGTGCTGCAAGCCATCCATTTTGGGATGACCCCGCAGGAAGTAGAGTGTATCATGGGTGTGACCGTGTGACCCGTCAAATTCAGGAAACCGTAGTGACCTGTTTGCTGATATCTTGACACTCTCTCACTCACTCACTCACTCACTCACTCACTCACTCACTCACTCACTCTCTCTCTCTCTCTCTCTCTGTCTCTCTCTCTCTCTCTCCCACTCGGCGCCTCTGAGACGTGCGGAGGCCTTTGATGTGCTTGAGAGATTAGATCCTGATCCCGAATTCTGGGAAGGCGAGATCCCGCATCCACAGATGGTGCATGTGCGCGTTCCGGGCTTTCCAACGAACGGGCGTGGAGAGGTCGAAGCAGCGCTGATCCACCGAGCAGCGCATGATGTCTTCCTTGCTTCGGCTCGTAGAACTTAGGCCGAAAAAGCGCACCTTTTTTGCAAGAACTCAGCCTTTGCGGATACTGCGTGTTTTTGTGGGTTGTGCACTGGGTCTAACCCTGTCGGGCCGGTCTTGGCTTTAGGAATGCGGATGCATGGGGGACCACAGATGTTTGCAGATACAAGCCTTTTGTGGGGGTCCAGTTGTGGTTGCTGTATAGATTCTATTTTTATGCAACTTAGGGGGTCATCATTTGCTCTCCTGCCATTCTTGCATTCCTCAAGACTTGGAACTGCCAGCGAAGCGTAGTCAGACAATAATTTGGATTTCGTCACTCAACCAGAACAACGGGCCGTTCAGTTGGGATTGCGGGGTTGTAACATGTGAATGTGTTTTCTTCTGCTCTTGCTGGGAGAACACTCCAAACTCCTGTGATTGTTCAAAAGGGTGCATGGCCCTGGCTCTTCTGGCTTCCCCTAGGGCTCCAGTTGTACCTCCTCAGAAGGTATTTGGACCCACCCCAGTCCCACCTTCTGAGAAGGATACTGGGAGCCCTACGGTTCAACACCTTTGTCGCAGGCAAGCGGGGAGCTGCCGTGGGGGTGTTCCAGCGAGTGGTCGCCCGCAAGGCGCGGGTTTGTGCGTGCATGTCGCGTGGGGATCTGACTGAAAAAGCTCCTTCAAGCGGGTGATCTTTAGGTTTTCCCGCTTATCAGAAAGGCTATGGAACATGACTCACTCAAAAAAACAACATATATATATATATGTTTTTTGTTAACGTTCTTTTTCTGCTTTTCATGGGTCTTCATGGGTCTTCTGCCTTTTACTGTTTATATGTTCTTGCTTTCCGGTGCAGGGGGACCCACGGATCCGTCGTTTCGTCGACCCACGGACTGTCCGTTTGGGCTTTCAGGAACATCTCCGTCCCAAGTGAACAGCACACGCAACACGACTCAACTGGAACTGAAAAACCATCCAGATTGATTTTGGTGTAAGCCAATTCGACTGTTGTCGGCCTGGATGGCCACCGAAGCCAATGTACGAAATGAAGTTGTTCGCTAACTTACCAAAACTCAGATTGTTTGAGTGGTCTTGAAACCTGTGAAACCAGACCAAAAGCCGCACCCCGGCTCGCCGCACCGTGGCTTCGTTCGGCTTCACACCCCTAGTCCACCTCCCGGTCCGGGTCCAGATCCGCCAGCGCGAGGAGTCGCCAGACAAGTTGCAGGACGTGGTGAACCTCCTGAGGAGCTCCAGTAACTCCCAGGCGCGGCCGAGCGGAACCGCGCGCGCGCGCTTCCGCTTCCGCAGCGCGGGAGCGAGATGAGCGTCCGATGGGCGGCCGGAGCCATCACAGCGAAGCTTCGTGTGTTGAAGCCTCCGAAGTAGAGAATGGTTGGCCCAGTGATTCTTGTGGAAACCACTGTGCCTCAGTGGATTTGGAAGATACGCGAGGTTAGCCTGTTCTTCACGGGGTGCTTCCTGTCTTTCACGTGGGCTTTGTGGTGACTGTTCTGGGTTCTTCGTGTGCGCGACTACGAAAACTAGAATCTAGATCTCGATGAATCTAGAAATGGTGGGGTCTGGAGGGTTTTGTGTCAACAGTCTGGAAACAGCAGTATGGCAGTATGTAAGATCTTATTGCTGAACAGATCTTCAACATTTCAATGAAACAGTCTGGAGTTGAAATCCACCCAACAGTCAAGAACAGATACGACTCGTTTACGTGGGCTTCACCCGCAACACGTCACGAGCGTGTTGGGTATCGGTGACTTTGAAATCGAAGCCTCAGTTGGTTCTTCTCAATTTGAGCATAGTGGATAGGTGGAGTACATCATCAACAAGGTCATGAAAAAGTGGGCCAAGGAGCTTGCAAAGGGCACAGAGATGCATGTCTTGCTTGTGACCGTTGCAGGAAACGGGACGTTTGCAACATGGACATCTGCCAGTTGATTTGGGGATGTCCCAAGTCACTGCTAGTGCCATAGTGCCATTGGGTAGGCAACATTTCCATGAGAGGTGAGACATGGGAGGTGAGATTTATTTGATTTTGATGGGAAGGAAGCGATGTTTGTGACGTGACAGTTTCTTAGTCCGCTGGCCACAGGAGAACAAAGTGAGACTGGAATGATGCAGAGCTCTCCTGGTTTCCCAAGGTAGTGGCCCCAAATGGCGGCAACATCACTTGAGAATGTGAAATGCATCCAAGATGGAGGATGCTTAAACCACGTAGCTTTTGTTCAAGGCGATAGGTATGATGTGGGATCCCAGCAGTTTGTTTGGAGGGCTCGTTATCTTTGGACACATTGACCAGTGGCGCAGTTGCAAAAACGGCAACTGGCTCTGTAGAGCGCGTGATTTGGAGGTTTGGCCAGAAACCCGTTATCCCCAGTGGGCCACTGAGTGGCATGAAGAACACCCGTGGCGTATGTAGAATGCATTCGCACCCAAGTTTGTGGCCACACCCCATGTCTTCACCACAAAAGCGGTGGCGGGCGAGGCGTTAGTGAGCCATCAGGCGGTAGGTAGGCCTGCAAAGAAGCATGCTCAGCCTTCTGAGGCTGAAATTCAACAGGCATGGGGGGGAGAGAACCAGAATGGAAGCAGAGAAGGAAGTTCTAGGAGGCCACCGGAGGCCATGTTCGGAAGACGAGAAGAGGTAGTGAGACACAACGAAGGTCCACGCGGTCTGAAAGGTCCAGAAGCAAATCCAAGCAGAGCAGGAATGGCCTGGAGGTCGTAATATCCAGCAATGGCTTGGACCACTTCGTGACCACTTCACATGCCTGGAATTCAAGACAACGAATTTGGAGGTCGAAGGTGCAGCCACGAAAGTCCTGTACAAACCGGCGCACCGCCTTTGGACCCGTGCAGCGCTTGGTGTCACCCTGGTAAAAAGAGTTTTGTGTGAGGTCGTGCTTCGGCTTTGCCTGGGTGTGGGGAACAAGGTTGGAGTGTTTTTAGAAGATTTGAGATAACATTAAGTGACATCAGAATGTCAGACAACCAAGACACTTTCCATTTTCAGGGAACTCCGTCTGAGCGCCACGAAAAGAGACTTGAGACATGGAATGAGTCGACCCCCACGCCATCTCTTCCTCTTGCAAGCTCCGGCACATAACGCTTCTCCATGTCATGAAAAAAGAAACACGCGGTGCACGCATAGTCTCACAGTTCCGCACATGAGTTCCGCATGCGCATAGCCCACACCCCGAGTTCCGAGTGACAACGGCCCCCGCAGTTCCTCCAGGAGCAGATGAAGATCGACCTGGAGAAGCTGAGGCGCGGGGCGATCGGCGATCGGTCCGGGAGACCCGAGCCCTACGAGGACGGAGGTCGCACCCAGGTCGCCACCGCCAGGAGGACGCAAGGTAGCAATGGTAAGTAGGCTTGGATGTATTTGGTCTACACTGAGTCTACACTCCCTCAAGTTGTGGAAGTGGAAAATGGATGAACATGGTTTTTCCCCTACAAACAGGTGGTTTTCCACTTCCATGAGGATTCCAAGGAGTGTATTGCTGGCACCGTGGTGGGTCGTAGATGTTCCAAGTTACGACGCCAAAAAAAACACAGATGACCACCAATCTAACCCCCAAGCGGTGTATATATCCAGTCGTTTTTATTAGAGGAACTACCAGATTGCGGTTCCCTAGGTCGCCTGGTGTAAGCAAGGCGCCTGGGGAACCGCTTGGTCACTCCCACCCAGCGCTTGCTCCATTCGCACCATTTTTTCACTTCGTGAGTTGAGCGATCCGTTTCAAGAACTGGCTTGGTTTCACCCACCGATCTTCATCCAAAGAAGCACTCACATCGTCCAATTCCCGGGTTGCCAATTCGATCAAAGAATCTAATACAAACGGATCCACCAAAAAGAACGGCTGTGAAGGAGTTGGAAAGGCAAAACGAGCTAAACTTCGATCACATTCGAACGCCAACCGCAACAACACCACACTACACAGACCTAAAACTGCTTCCGAATCCATTAAGCCAAAGCCTGCGCGACACTGAAACATGAAACGCATCAATCTTTCGAACTTCGCCCCCTCCCTCCCCCCCTTGGTGCTGCTTACTCATCTCGCAAAAACGCAACCCCTGTACCATCAAATATTGAGTGCGTCGCTCTCCCCAGGCACCCTGTGGGTAAGCCATAAAAACACTGTATATAAATACCAGTAAAAACTGATTCCAAACGCTATAAAACATTATAAAACTACCAGGCGACCTCGGGAACCGCTTGCAACTACCACCTATGCCGTTTCGGTGGTGAAGGGCGACGGGAACTGCATTCGTCGCCACGGAATCGGTTGGTTTCGCTGTGAAAACACTGAAACGCCTGAAACGCCTTCGCCTTTGGATTTGTGTGGAGCAGCTATTTTGAATCGCACTGGACCGCAAGTGAGATGGATCGCAAGATCTCGATTTGTGTAACACATCGGTATCATCAGTTCTGATTGGTGAGATTCTGATCTCCGGATGGATGGAATTGGTGCTGTTCTTCTATTTGCAAACTGACCGGGCACCAGGAGCCCACTGAGTGCCGGACTGGGTACACGAGCCCCTCTTCCGGGACTGTTGTCGTTCGGTCAACGACCCGAGAGCGCACGAAACCACCAACACGAACCCAAAACCACAACGGGGGGCATGATTTGGGCCTGATGGATGCATTTGGGAGCCCAAGAGAAGCACGAGGAGCCCTGAGGAAACACGTCAGATGTCAGGCCTGAAGATGTCAGCTTGTTTTCTGAAACACCTGAGGTCCCGTGATCTCCTGACTGCTGCTGGTTTGACCTTTTCTCCGCTTTTCCCGCCCATTCGCCGGGGCAACCGGGGTGAGTTCGACGCCTCGTGCTCCGCTCCGCTGCAGTCCTCCAGGTTCGCAGAGATCAATGCCAATATGTCCAAGAATGCCAAGGAAGCAACGCTAAAACGAAGAAAAGTGAGTGGCGGAGGGGCGGAGTGTTTCGCTGTTTTCTTTTTCTTCTCTTTTTTTTTGGGACCCAGCATTGCTCCGGCGAACCATGCTTTCTTTGTGCTAGACTACAGAGAGATCGGCTTCTCTGACGTGCGGACGTGCGTGCGGTGCGGTGCGGGCGGGTGGCAGCGCCAGGAGCGGGCGGAAGCACAGCTCCGGGAGACGAAGCAAGACGTGGACCACTGGCGTTCCAAGGCGCCCAGAACGCGCGCAAAAGGGCCCAGGGGAGCTGCGAAGCGGCCGCTTCCGCGGGAGCTGCTCGCGGCGGAGCTGGCTGGGGAGCTGGGGGGCCTGAGAAATCAGCCAAACGGAGGGTAGTGGACAGAAAGGGTTGTGCAAGAACCTATTCTACCAACCGGCTATTTGTGGACATGTCGTGGAATGGTGGGCCAGTAGGAAAACTGCCAGCAATTTTGCTGACCCCCTTCTCCACACACCCTCCATTTAGCCTTCATTCAAGAAAGAGCCCACTGGTGCCGTGTTTGCGGAGGCTCAGAGCATGATCAGAGAGGATGAGAAGATCAAGCGCCAAGAGGAGGTGAAGCTGGGTCTGTGTTCGGGTGGAGAACCGGAAAGGACGAGCGACTCGTCATTGAAAGGACAGAGTCGCAGACCTGCAGCACAGTGCTGCGACTCGACCTGCACCAGTCCGGGGAGAAGGGTGTGGCATCTGGGTTCATCAACAGTATGGGAGATGCCACATCCTTCTCCCGGAGCCATCAACCTTCTTGCTTTTGATGGGATGTGGGGTGAAGCCTTAAGGTCGGGGATCTGGACTCTGGAGGTTTCATGGTCATGTCGTGTATGGTCATCACTGTCCAAAAGTCCTTGATGCACATCCAAACGACTCGGAGCAGATTTTGAGACATGCAACAAAAACATCAAACAAACAATGAAACGTGCCGGGTGGCAGGATGTTGATCGACTTGAGCGGGAAGTCAAGGCCGGGTTGGGAGATTGACAAAGATGCTTGAAGCATCTTGTGGTGTGTGAGACTAAGGACTTTCAGATGGAATGAAGGGGTGTCTGAAGTATCAGGAAGACCTTTGTTTCAAGAACACCGTGAAATCAAAAACTTCAAACATGCACATCCATGTCACTTTGAGTGTCACTTTGTGACTTTGTGAAGACATCATGAAAACACCTGGTCCATGTCATTCCACGGGAAGGCATCAGGCCCACCGACCGTCATGCTTCTGTCATCTCACAAAGTAGATGAACCTGATACCATGGTACATTGAAGATGAGAGGATACTTTGTTGCATTTCAATTTCTTTTGGAGCTTGCTTCACAAGCCGCTTGCTCAATTTCAATGCATGACCACCACCTGGGCTTTTCTTTTTCGAACAAACACCGAACCAGGAGCTGCATGAGCAGAATACTCAGCTCTTGACCACTTTCCAGCAGTTCAAGAGCGTCCCTTGGACCCGTCGTTGGCTCTGACCCGAGGAAGGATAGAGAAGAATGGATCGGGACTGGATTTGGTTGATCCACTGGACGATGGGATGCATCAAACCGGGGAAGATGGTGTTTCCAGTACCATCCAAGTCGTGGAAGTTGACAGTGACTTTCGATGTTTGAAGCGTTTCCAGTGGTGAACACCAGGCTTTTGTTCCTACGTTCGTGCCGTGACTTCTGCGGCTTTCGTGTACGGGATCGTTGGTCGCTGGTTCTGGGTGCGACTGGGCCATGACTCATGACTCATGGAATGCATCCTGGCATTAGGGAGCAAAAAATGACCCTGCAGCATATCTAAAACGACCAACACCCAAACAATTCACCAAAGGTCATTAACGGACAATGCCAGAATATTGTGGCCATGAATGTTTGACTCAATGGAACGCACAAAGCAACACATATCATTGATCATATCATACCATCATATTGATATTATCTCGTATCATTATCTGAAACATCTTCCTTGAAGGATTTTGGGTTGTTTGTTTGACTTGATCTCCGGATAGCGATTACAATATGAATAAAGAAAACACTATATTATATATATATTGTTGTTATCTATTGTTGTACTACAGATGCAACAGCAAGGACTATGCCAAGTGACACTTTGCCACTTGTCAGGAATGGGAGGTGATGCGCGCCGAAAATCAGAGTCTTCAGGACGACCGACTCAGTTGACATGTTGACGGACGAAAAGGACTTGTGAGAAAGCAATGCTGAGGCAAACAAGTGATAGCAAGTGACTCAGAATTTGGTCAGCGATTTCTGGCGAAGGTGTGGAGGATCTGTGGATTTGCCATCGTTTGAAAGCAAGCGGATTTGCGTCCAGGAGACCTTGGCCATGTCGGAGATGAGCCTGGACCGTGCCAGTGAAGAGAAAGCGCAGATCATGGGTCATGTGAACCCCAAGTTCGCCACTCAGAGGGGTCTTCCAGTTGCGAAGAGGACAGGTCAGGTCTTCAAGCCTCGGAGAGTTTTCGTTGCGAACGGTGCAGATGTTGGAAAGAGAACGATTGTGGTGGTTAAGCATGGTCAAGCTGCGCAGCTGCTGTGAACACCAGTGAACCATGATCGAAAACAAACAAACGAACGATAGTCGATAGTTCATTGATGTTGATTGCGAAACAAGACGGCGGATCAGATCCATGCGGACCACAAGCGAATTGAGTTGACGCACACATTTTGGATGGGAAGGAAAAAACCAACGAATTACCGGCGTGGAACAACAATCCAACCACCAGGATAGGGACCGGTGTCTTTCTCAACCACCAGGATAGACACAGCCTCATCCGTTGAATTCAAGGCCCCGTTGCCGTCGGCTCCAACGGCGGCCGATCCAACCCGGCCGGCTCAAACCACGCGGATCCCGTCGTGTCCCGACCGTGCAGGTTGGAGGGATTTTGTCGGGAAGGGGGGGGAGGAGGAGGTGGGGAAGGTAGGGGAGAAGGTAGGCCCTACGGGTTGTTGGATGGTTGCAACTGGCGTAACATCATGAAACATCCAGAGGCATAGGTCTACGAATGATGGATCTTGTTTTACATTTGTTCTTTCTCCGGGTGTAAAGTGTAAAGGTGAAGGTTTTGGCGTTCGCCCCCGTTTTAACCCAAGCTTTCCCTACTTCTGGAGAGTGGGTACTCCTTCGATCGTCAGAATTTGGGAAAGCAGATCGACAGGACACATACGGCCAAATGGTAGAGGACAACGGCCGTTTTCCACTTTTGTGGTGCAGGGAGACATCTGGGCAAGACATCTGAAAGAACGCGAGAGAGAGAGAGAGAGACAGAAAGAAAGAAAGAAGGAAAGAGGGAAGGGTAGTGTGGCTGAATGGTGTTGATGCAGTTGGAGCATATTGCAACTACGTATTTCTTGATATTTTTGAGCTCTTGAGTTGTCAGGGGTGCTTCTGGAAAGATCATGGTTGTGGACACCAGCCCCTGCACGATCACCTGGCCTGTTGATCCATTGGGTGTTGGCACACGTGCCTTCTCTCAAGGGTGCATTCCTAGGCTCCTTTCGAGTCAAGTCGTGGTTCCTTCTCTCAGTTGCTTCTCGTTTTCTTTCTTTGCACTGGTCTTGTGCAATGCCTCGTCTTGTCATTCATATACTGTACTATCTGTACGGTTAATAGTTAATTAAACCTTTACACACTGACACGGCAAAAGTAATATACAGAGAGAGAGAGAGAGAGAGAGACAGAGAGAGAGAGAGAGAGAGAGACACACAGACACAGACACAGACACAGACACAGACACAGACAGACAGACAGACAGGCAGACAGGCAGACAGGCAGACAGGCAGACAGGCAGACAG